TTGCTTTCAAAAGAAGATCAAGCGAAAATCTGAAGAAGGCGCAGCATAGTTAGAAGCTGGATGTATTCCGGCTGATCTCATCCGCAACGCAAGAGCGCCGCAACTTCAGTCGGCCGATCCTTATTGCGCTAAGAAGCTTCGACCGTTTTACTAAGCGAATAATTTTTGGTGATTAACTACTCCGAGCACAAATAGAAGTTTGAGATTTGTGTAAAAATTTCAAAATTTGAGAGGAGAAGAAAAGTTATCTTTTTTTTCTGATTTAAGTCTTTCACGACTACCATACGCTGACTCCAATTAGCAAACACTTAGCAAACACTTTTTCGCCCGCCATAAATTTTTTTCTTCCAACACTTTTTATGCATTTTGACTGAATCAAAGCAATTGCTTCCTTTCCGGACCCTAAAGCATTCTCTTCAAGAAAGAAATTTTCATGTGTTGTTTCATGCAAAAACCGCTGCATTACTTGTCCTGGAAAGAAGTTCGTACTTTCTTGGATATGCAAGCTAGCATTTATCCTCTTGAAATCCAACCGAAGACCTCATACCGAGGCCTGGTGTCAGTAATAATGGTTCACATCATTGTTGTCTGTCTGGTGATAGAAGTGAAACTGGAAAAGAATTTCTTAAAAAGGCGAAATCTTTTCTGACACCTTTAAGATACCCCGGTAGCCACTTTGCGGAACTTCCTAGGCACTTATCCAGGTAGGCGTGCATTGCTTCGAACCATCACATTGAGCTTTTCAAATAGTTTTTGCCACATTTCCATCACCTTTAGACTTTAAGTTCTCGAAGATTTTTCGATTGCAAAACATTAAAAATTCCATTTATCATTGTCGCATAATTTCGGTAGTTGGGGTATTTGGAAGTTTATTTTTGTTCTTAATTTGCACTTTCCCAGAGTTGCGCAAGCAAACCATACCGTATCGTAGATTAGGGTGCTGTTACCTCGAAACTTTTTGCGATAACGCTTGCATTGTCCTGCTTCCTAGAAGAGTAGTCAAACTTACTTAAATCCATTGTGTTTTTGAGCAGTTCAGAGTGTCG